ACACCATCACCTCCTGTCCCACCAGCGTCTCACCGTAAACCAATCACACTCACCTCAAACACCCAACCGCCATCGCCCATGCAAGTTGGAAACATGCGTCACGGCTCCTTCTCTATGCGGCCCCCAGCTGCATCTGTGATCGGAGTCCGAGACTACCACAGTGCGTCGAGCGCCGACTGACGCTTCAACTTAGTCCACGCATCCGCCCTAGCTGTGTAAGTGCTTGTGTGGAGTGGCAGACTGGTGGGCTAAGAGCCAGGCTGAAGCGGCTCTTTCTCCAGCGATCCGTGACGCTCTCGTACATGTGGGAAGAGTGTTTGTCTTTGTGGGTGTGCTTTATGCGTAGTGCATCTCAGTCGACGACTGTTTGCTTACCAACCTTTGACGGGTGACAGCCCAGGCGAAATACAGGGCCACGTGCCGCCCGTCTAGGTCCAAAGTTCTGAAAGCGTATGCTATGCCAGTATCAGCAAATCATGGTCCTCGCAGCCTTGGATGTGCAAGCAGTTCCCTGACGCCTGGTTCCCTGTCGGTAGATGCGCTTGCGCTCCCGCTTGGTATACAGGTGGTGGGCATGGCTGCCCAGTCATCCTCGCCCTTCTGACCACTGTTGGGATGTTGTTGCTGGTGTTCTTGCTGGGGAAAAATCCTGATCAAGTGTATGTTGTGGACCGGGGGGTGTGGTGTCACTGAGAGGCAATACCCGTAAACACACATACGCTTCTCGCTTGCGTGAGAGTGTCAGAAATCAAGTTAAGGAGGAGCCGTTGCAGCCTGGCTCTCAGCCCACTAGTCCGCCACTTCGTACAAACACACATAACTGGGCGGCCGACTGCTTCCGAGACGTTCTTGACCTACGGCAGAGTTCGCCAAAATTTGGGGTCTCTTTGGTCTGGCCTTTCGTCCGTTTAGCGTACGCATCGATTGCCGACGGTGCGAGGGTAGCCATTGGCTTTTAAGACCCGTCGAAGGTATTGTAGTTCAGCAATTTTGTCGTTCGGCTCACTGCAACTTGTTTCAATACGCTGGTAGAGCGTCCGTACACAGCTGCGATTGCGGCTGATTGGGTGGTTGATGCTGAAGTTTAGTGCTTGCCTGGTATTTGTCGCCTTCCTGAACAAGTGCAATAATCCCCGATAAAGGGGAGGGCCGTGAATTTTCATAGGTATGCGGTAGCATGGCTACTGCATCCTATAATTACTGCAGCCTCTCGTGCATGAACCAGTCGTGTCTGCTATTGTCTCTGATGATGGATTCTAACAGGAATCCGAAACGTCGGGCAAAGAAGGCTCTTGCACCAGCGCTCGCGTCTCCTTCTTAACGACTACTTCCTGGGACTCGTCTTTTTGATTCTATTTGCACAGGAATAGAGCAAAAAATGATCAAAAGACAGAAATCCACACAGTTGAGCCACAGAAATACGCTGCAGGTTTGAGCTCATTTCGATCTTTTATGAGGAATGACCATCCAAGTAGGGGTTTTTTATTCGTTTCTTCAACGAGACGGGCTGCGGTCTGCCTCAAGGAGGATGCTGTCAAATCACTTGACAACCTTAATCACGATTAGTCTCCCTACGTGTCAGAAACCGTGCGAAGGATGATACAGCCAACTGACCATTGATAAGCCGATAAGTGTGAGTTGCAAACGGATGTCGCAGGCCTGCGCTAGCCCCAGTCATTTGAACCAGATTTTCATTTATTTGGCTTCTTAGACTCAGGTTGAGGTCTTCTAAAGGCTGGTTTTCACACATTTGTTCTGCCAGACAGGCTATGTTGCGTCTGACGATATGGTGGTATAGGGTTTTGTCAGCTAGACCTAGCAGCCATTGACCTCGGTTTCACGCCATGCCGTATTAGCGCGTTTTATCAGACACCGGTCGGTGTTGCGCCTTGCGTGAACTTTATTCATGCTCAGACTTCTTACATCTACTTGGGTTACTTTACTGAGTGTGATTTTTCAAGAAGTAAAAAGACAATATGGCGAGCATACTTCTGCTTTCGATCAATTCTCTTCAGGTCTGTATGTTTACATAGTGATATTAAAATAATGAATTAGAAGATACGGGTAAGTAGATAGTTATGCTCTGGATCGGGTTTGGGGGGGAGGAGCGAGTGAAACAAGCTTGTGGAGATGCCACAAGCAACGAACGCACGTTTTCGATTACGTATAAAAACTTTTCCAATTTCCGAATAATTTTTAACCCTCTCTACCGTCACGCTTGGATTCAGGGTTCCTAAACTACAAGCCGTATATTTTCCGCGTACGGAAAGCCACACATTTCTCTACGATAATAAACGGGCACTATATAGGGTTCATAAAATCTAGCAGTGGATTTGATCCAGATTGTTAATTTTACATGCCACATTGGTAAATTCAGAGACATGAGGATTTATGAACGGCCATTTTACGGTATTTAAGTGTAACAATTATAAACCTTTTTATAACCGAATTATCTCCCTCGTTCGAGCATAAAATTAGAATAAGACGTAATTTTCTACCGAATGAGCAAAACAATGATTATATTTATACATGTTTTCCATGAAATATAATTGGACATTTTGGGACATCGAAATTTAACGAGAAAATGCATGCTACATAAGTAGTCATTTTTTCACAGAGTATAGTCTTTACATGCAGCCGGAAGGAAGTTCATTCGAAAGCCGGCATCCTGAAGTAACTGAAATATTATAGAATTATGTTGCAGGCTGACTAGTTTTCGAAACGAAAACGCAGTTCCGAATTTCGGTTGACATTTCATGAATTAGCACACCTACTGTGCGTAAAATCAGACCTCTACGACACGGTAGGGCAGTGAATTGCGAAATACAACCAATGACAATGGATGGGGCAGGGATTAAGGGGGCGGCTTGACCCGCCAAACAGATGAGGGCCCTAAAAATTATGACCAAGTTTTGGGGTCAGGGGCAGAGAAAGGGCTTTCAGTGGCGTGTTTGTGTTTCATCGCTGTGACGCGATATGGAAGAAATGTCTGGGACTCAGCTTGAGCCGGGGTAAATAAAGGGCATCGATAAATGTCTCCAGAGACCATAAGAGCGGGCTGGCAGACCACTGTTTCTCCCGATGCAAGCATCTGCTGGTATAGGAGTTTGGATATACTCGCTGACATCCTTCAGATAACCGAAGAAACTTAACTGACGCATATGCTGTGTTCCTCGTCAACAAAATGAGCCACGACTGCACTAGAAATGGATTTTGCAGTGTAAAATTGTCAGCAAAACACTTACATGCCATTATTACCTAGGACAAGTGCCGGCCTATAAATGTGTGACTGACACGATGACGAGTTTAATATCAACCTCCATATTTGAGTCGTATTACTTGTCAGGAATGATACAGACACGTGATCACGGTTAAACCGACGTACGCCAGTAGGTATGACGTAAGCCACGTTAAATGGAAGGAGTACCTAGGCTACTATTAGGTCTGTGTGATGGCGGCTATGGAAGTAGCATCAAGTAAGAGACACTGACAGCAAAAGATGACACGCGAGCGATAAGTCCTAAAACGGTAGGCATCGGGTGAAGGCTCCCAAGCTTCTGTGGCACGCAAAGAATACCTACTATCCTTATTTAAGTGGGTTTTAGTCCGACACGATTATTTCGGCTTGGTCTTTTATCGTACAAGGTTGGGTCGTCTGTTGTAGACGGTCTGGTACACTATCTACAACGATCTCAGCTTAGAGACTTGGGAAGCGATCGTTATACACACTTGATGTTTATTTTTTAAATTGCCTGCTTAATTTCGGCTGCTATATGTCAATGCATTAAAGCTTCCCCCTCCCCAAAAAACGAATATATCAATTATCTATACTTATTTTGTCATTCCTCTAAGCATGCATAGACCCCGCCCGTAAAACCCCTATGACCACCTTTTTCCGTAAGACTGGTCGTGTGTGTGTTTGGGGTCCTTCATCCGATAGTTGCCCCTAAAATAAGCGTTATGATCCGAAGGGAAGGTAAAAAAAAAGAGAGCCGGTTCGGGGAACAAGCAATGTACTGACAGCCTGAGAATACGACGATTTACAACTCGTCAGAAAGACGCCCTATTTATCTTTGCTCATCTTCGTTCTGGAACATTCCGTCAAATGGCGTACCAGCCGTGGCGGGCGTTCTAGAACGTTCCTACCCATGGCGGACTGACCACAGCGTGCACGAGAATCACCCCTCCCGCGGGAAAGACTGATTTGGCATTACCGACAAAGCCAAGAGAGACTAGAAAGGCCATTTCTGGCTTATTAGCCGTCGTCAGCCAGTCACACCCAAGCCCGAAGTGTGGAACACCCGAGGCTCGAACTCGCGACCTGTTAGTTAGAAGTATACGCCTTTAACCACTGGGCCACGAGCCCGTGGCCATGTCGTTTTTCGATCGGTGAGCGTCCCCTACCAAAGACTGGAATGTTCGACTGATTGGGCCGCACTCGTGAGCAGAGTCACCACACGTGCTAAGCGCTGCAGTACACGCCGATTGGCCGTTGAACTTCACGCTAGTATCACGCCACCAGCTTGTTCCTCTGTCCCGCGCCTGAAGGCGTCACTCTACACCGATTGTTCTTCACAGCCATCAGAATGATCTTTTAAAAGTACAGGAAAGCCGATAGGAGAGCAGTAAATGATACTGAACTAGGTAAAATATGGTGGACAGACTGAACTGACTTCAAGTTTCCGACGACCGTTGCATTCCGACTGTCTCAGTCTGAGAATAACCGAATTTGTCAACAAATCCAAGAACTTCGATAAAAGTAAACAACTTAGCAACAAGTTATAGAATAGGGAGTAGGCGGAATATATAGAGTCAAAACCAGCAATCTCATAAGCTACTTGATCACGTGCATTTGTTAACACCTTCGTTCCAACGGTTACCAACTTCAGCACTGCCATTGGTCGAAACTGTCACGTGCTTACTCATTGGTTCGGATGTTATCGATCAACACAATTGGACTACCTGAAGCAAGCGGTGAATTCCACTGGTTCGCGCGTCAGATACCGAGGCTTTAAATAGGCGATTGCACAGCGTACTAAGAAGACTCTTTATCAAAGCGGTGCGGCTGACGCTTACCGCCCACCCATGGTTTCTCAACAAACCTTTCTACCTCTCAACAGCGGTTACCAACTCCCTCAAGTCGGTTTTGGCACGTATATGGTTGGTTCCGCCTTCATTTCATTTCAGCTTCAGTCGACGCCGGACAAAGCGGAAAGACCCGTCCTCTGGGCGATTGATGCAGGCTATCGACACATTGACTGCGCCCACATTTACGGAAACGAAGTTGAGGTGGGAATGGCTCTCAAGAAGAAATTTGATGACGCAACTCTGGAGCGCGAGGACATTTTCATTACATCAAAGGCATTCCGTAATTGTAAGCTGATCTCCTGTATAGTTGTGGTGTAATGCGCATCGTCTGAAGGATGTTCGTCCAGCTTGTGAAGAGAGCTTGCGAAGACTGGGACTCAAATACCTGGACCTGTTTCTCGTTCACTTCCCTGTCCCTTTCAGTGTATGTTCATTTCACCGGCATTAAGTTTGCAGGTAAAGGAGGGCAGGCAGTACTCCCTGGACGACCCAAGTGCACTCGAATTTGAAGACATCCCTCTGGAAGAAACATGGAAGGTTAGTTAATCTTTAACTTAGTACCAACCTGAATATTTACAAGTGCCGTTTATAAAGTTCATGCTTCTCGAAGTATTGGTCATTGTCAGTTGATTTTGAGAGAAAACCAGGAACTGGTTAGCTCGATCAGAGGCGTTCCAATCCACTTCCGACCAGTGTATGGTCTGCTTCCCGATGCATCTGTCGTTCATTTTAAACTGGTCTTTATGACGGAAACGAAGTAGCCCTTTTTGTTTACGTCCTTATGTTTGACTTTGCATTCCACCAAACCGTTGTCCACTTTGAGTCGCCTTCTGTTCAGGGCATGGAGCAATTGGTCAAGGCAGGCCTCGTTAGGTCGGTGGGCGTTTCGAACTTCAACAAGGACCAACTTGATCGGATTCTGGCCAGCTGCAAAATACCGCCGGCGGTAAATCAAATTGAAGTGTCCGTGAATTGGCTGAATCAAAAATTGATCAATTACTGTCACTTTAAGGGCGTTCAGGTCACTGCCTTTTCGCCTTTCCGCTCCCCGGACGAAAAGACGTAAGTTCATTAGGAGCAAGATTACCGGTCTTTTTGTCGGTTAACAGAGTTCGCAGTCCTCAGCTTTGCAACATATTGCGGAATGGTATGCCCGGACCAATCAGAATAAAGTCGTCTCTTTGCCGGCTAGGGGCCAGGCCAGTCTTCAGTCTTACGGCAGATGAGTGCATGTAAGGCTTAAGCTGATCGGCATGAAACTGACTGTCCGACTGCTCCATCTTTGATCTGACAACATTTGCCCACACTAGCCATGCTTGCTACTGATTTCCGTTTGAGCCAAGAATTTTTCCCAGTGTCGACTGAAGATTGGAGACTTTGTTAGAAATGCCATCTCCGCCTTTCGCCATGTAAGCGAACAGTATGAGCGGTTCTTGATCTTGTGGTCAATGGCGGAATATCATGCTTAGTCCAGTTAACATAAAATCGTCCATCTGGATATGTCTCCACTAAAGTAGGTCCCAAGTAGGTTTGGATCCATCCTACTTGTCGTCTGTAAATTGCCATTTAGATAAACTCACCTTGTCAGTACGAATGATAGAATGGAGGCTCTCTCGAAAGCATAACACTGTGACGAAGTGGAAATCAGGTAGCTATTCCGGATGGCACAACAGCACCCAAATACGTCTGAGCGTTGGGGATTTCTTACACGCCATTCGTTCGAAGAGGTTAACGTATTTGTCTTTGGTGTTGTGCTCCTTTGAACAGACATATTCCACCGACTGTGGAAGAAGAATATGTAAAGAAAATTGCCCTGACCCATGGGAAGTCGCCAGCTCAGGTCCTCCTTCGACATGCCATACAGCGCGATATCTCGGTCCTCGCAGGCAGCATGGACGCTGAAATGATTAGGGAAAACTTTAAGGTCAGAAATACGCTGTTTTTTCCTATTTTTCTGCGGACTCTTCCTCTATGATATTTCTAATATTTAGCATAACGTCTGGTCATCCTTGCATTATATGGAGGTTGTGCCATAACGTACTGCCTGCTTATATCCCAAACACTTCAGAAGTATGTAGCACCTCAGCAAGATTAAGATGCCATTGGCGTCATGCCTCACAGTATTTAAGGGTAGCCAGCAAATTGGTGTGGGTTTTGCATCAAGGCGTACAAACCGGATAATGTGGTTGTACCGAGGAAGCCATATTTCACAACCTTCTTCTCTGTTTCATCATCCTCATCACAGTCTTCATTCGCAGTAATCTCTGGAGTTTCAGTGGGCTTAGGATTTTATCTAATCAAGTCGACGGAACTTCACTTGTCTACAATACTGTCTGCTACCTTTCGCAACAGCCAGTGTTAGTTGGAAGGTTATCTGTGAGAAGACCGAAGTTTTGCGTATGAGAGATGTAGTCAGAGTCAGTGACCAACTACATGTCGTCCTTTGACGCGGGTCTTTTAAAATGCAGTAGAGTGCCTCATTGACTATCGATAAAAAGGGAGCGAAAACACCGAGGTAGGATGATATATTTCACCGTCTCGGCCATTCGCATGTTTGCCACTGGAGTTTAGAGAGAGAGAGAAAGAGGAATTAATTTATTTGGAAATTGTAAATTCGAAATTTTCACTAAATAAATTAATAGATTATTTAAGAGTCAAATAAGTTTAACACAAAAGGAACGATTATTATGGGGACAGTTCATGTCTTCGTTTCTGTATTTCTATCTCTTCACACGCTAGATAGCGCGCCATGAATGGCAATACAAAAGCTCGAAAAGCCGGTGTGTGACAAGACATAAGTCGGGAGCCGCTGTGCATCAGGCGGGAAGACTTACCTGGCAATACAGAAGCTGGAAAAATCGATGTGCGACAAGACGTAAGTCAGAAACCGCGGTGCATCGGGCGGGAAGAATTAGCAGAAATAAGATCATAATGTAAGGTATGGGCAACGTCATCTCGATTTCGACCAGCAAACTGCTTGACCGTATTGAAATACCGTTGAAGGATAGTATCAACTAAAAAGGGATAAGGAACACCAGCGGCAGAAAAGAGCATTCGGAGAGCCCGTTTTAAAATTAAAAGATCCTTTTTAAGCAAAGCAGGAAAAATGACAGGAGAGCAGTATAGGATAAGAGGAAGAATGCATGCATCGATGGATCGCCAGACTAAGGTTTGAGGTGTGTGGTAGGAACGTAAACGACGTATGTAATAAAGAAGTTTACGAACTTTAGTAAATAGGGATTCAATATGGAGGAAAAATAAAAGATATGAGGACAAAGTAACGCCAAGGTACCTGAAAGAGGAAACCTCGTCAGGAAGGATGTCAAAGGATGTCAGGTCTAGGAGAGGGCCGCAGTCGGAAAATACACGAAACTGATTTTTGGTTGTTCATTAGGAGACCATTTTCGTCCGACCATACGAGGACTTGGTTAAGGTCATCCTTTAGAGAATGGAGAGGTGTCTAATTTTTGAGAGGGTTTCCAAAAACCACATCATCAGCATACTTAACCAAATTACAGTCGTTAGGGGATCTTAGATAATCGGTGTGGAGGTCGAAAAGGTAAGGGTATAGAATGGAAGGAACCTTGACATGCCAGTCTCTCGAAGCATTTAATCGATGAACCTGCTTCGACTACAGTGTGCATGAGCAATCACCAACTCCGCATTTCATTGGATTTACCTTTCCGCATTCCTCTCAAAATGACTTCAGGTCTTCGATTTTACCCTGACGAAGGAGGAAATGGAGGTGCTCAATACAAGCGGCCGCAGCACTCGCTTCTTCACTGCAAAGATGTAGGTGTGTTTTGTTAGCTTAAGGCCACTAACATTTTTTTGTTTTAGGGCAGTCGGTCATCCGGAGTATCCGTTCCAAGCTGAATTCTAACGTCCAGAACACTTCCGGAGTTCAGGATGTTATCTTTCTCTAGCACATGTCATCGCAGGTGAGGAAATCTAAAGCCCTGCTTGAGGCATGAATAAAACCTTGAAGCGTTCACCATCTCAACAGACTGCTGAAAGTAACAGAGACAATTTGCGTATTTGGATATCGGGCGTTGCGGGAGCCCACTTGTTACCAAACGCCCGCTAGAAATGTCCAGCAAAGTACGAGCTACAGGCTCGTCAAGGTCTCACGACTCCATTGGCCCAGTGGCGTGACCAATCGCGAGGGCGCGGCGTCACGGCGCGCTCGGACTCAGGTTGTCGGCCCTTTAGCGCCTATTCGCCCAACAAACACAGAGCTTCACGATAATTGGGCGGCGCAGCGTAAAGTATGCAGCCTTCCGCGTTCCGTATGGCCACAAAAGCGATGCTCTAATGCAGCTGCCTTTCAAGGCTGCTTCTCCGATCACACTGCCCATGGCGCGGTGAGTGTGTCTGTTAACAAGCGTCACCCCATCGTCGAGTACGCAGGCGTATGCGTGAGGTATAAAGTAAGTCAAGGCAAAATGTCAACATGTCTGTTTGTGCTGATAATAAAGGTGGGTGATTTAATCCTGCAGAACAGTGAACGAAGTAGGTGGGGGGGCATAATGATGGTGTTTGACTACCGACGATGTGATTAAACTCGAGTCGTCCGGCTGGGCCTCGTAGCTCAAGTGGTTAGAGCGTAGGCTGTACTAAAACCCTCCCCTTAATGCGTGGGTTCGAATCTCACCGAGGCGCCGAGTTTTTCACAATTGGGTCAATATGAGTTTTCCTAGGACTCAAACTTGTCGATAGTGATCGCATTCCGGCGGCGAGCGGTGAAAAGTCGTACATAAAAGACAATTTTGCGGGCATAGGCAAGCTTTCGATAGATTCTCTTCAGGCCTGTACCGAAATGGTTAACAATAAAAATGCGTGCACAATTGCTACTTTCTTTTTGCAAGTACAATTAATTGTCGATACATTCAGTCAGTATCAGTCAGTATATATGGAGTAAACGACAGAAGCCCTGAAAACTCCATTTAGAGGGTACAGATATAAGGGAAAATAGGTAAATTGCAAAGCTTGTAGTTTAAATAAGGAGAATTCATAAATCTAATAATGTAGCATAAAGGCGAAAGGGGTATTATAATCGCGAAATAATTGCGAAAAACTTTGTTCACCGCATTCGGACCGTGAAAATTTCAATATGGGCTAAGTGTGGAGCACAAAATAGGATCTGTTGAAATCTTGTTAGTAGTATATTTATAGTCATTTCAGTAATCCATTAGATCAGGCTTCGGCAGTTCGGGTTGCCTTTCAGCAGGTAAGCATCCAGTTGTCTCTTGAACACGTTCACGGTAGGGGAATTAACAACAAACTCCGGCCAAGAGTTCTATTAGCGAATGACTTTCTGTGAGGAAAACGAGGAGCGTTGATTTGTGTGGCACAGTTCTTTTTTAAGCTGGTAATCATGTCGTCTGAGATTGGACTTGGGTGACATTTCAAAAAATGTTTCCCAGTCGACATCCAGATTAAGTCCTTTTACCAACTGGAACGTTGCTATGAGGTCACCTCTGATCTGCCTGTAGTGGAGAGGATAGAGGTTCAAGGCCGTCAGGCGCTGCTCGTGCGTGAAGTTTTTGTGGCCATAAACAGCCTTTGTAGCACGCCGTTGTACACCTTCATGGATATCCATATCCTTCCGAAGCCACGGCCGCCAAGCCTGTACCGCATATTCCAGGTGCGGCCGCACGAATGTTCCGTATACTTTGCTAAAAACATCTTTATTCAAGAGTATAAACGTTCTGCGTATAGCGCTCATAACGGACATTGCTCGCGCAGCGACTTTAGAACACTACGTGGTGACGCCTAGATCGTCTTTAATGAATACACCGAGATCTTTTTGCACATCTACGGTTTTAAGTGGTTGATTGTCCAGGAGATACTGTCATGGGGATGCATTTGTTCTTCGCCTCGCTGATACTACGTGCATTACTGTACATTTTTTGACGTTGAATTTCATGCACCATTTCTCGCTCCATGCGTGCAAATTGTCTACGTCCTTTTGTAGTATCTTGACGTCATCTTCATTTTTTATCGCTCTCCAAAGTTTAAGATCGTCTGTAAAGAGCGCTATTTCCGATTTCACTTCCCCTACTTGGTCATTTACGTAGATAATGAATAGGAGCGGCCCAAGAACTGACCCCTGTGGGACTCCACTTGTAACAGGTGCCCATTCTGAGCAGTAGCCGCCCGCAGTGGCTTTTTGTCGCCGTCCGTTTAGGAAATCTTGAATCCAGTTCAGAAGGTTTCCTCTTATCCCTACTTCTGACAACCTTTGAATGAGGCGCTTATGTGGGACGCAATCGAACGCCTTGCTGAAGTCAAAGTAAATGACATTAACTGGATGTCCTTCATTCATGGCCTTTGACCAGTGTTCGAGTGACGAAAGCAGGTTTATCAGGCACGACCGCTTTTCGCAGAAGCCATTTTGAACTGAGGCGGGAAGTATCGAGTGATGTAATAAATTTTTTAACTAATTTTTCCATCAGTTTGCAGCAAATGCATGTCAAACTTACCGGCCGGTAGTTCGTGGGACATAGCCGTGATCCTCCCTTGTGGATAGGTACGACATTTGCCAACTTCCATGTGTCAGGTAGTTTGCCAGCTTCCAGCGATTTTTGGAAGATTATAGAAAGTGGCTCTGCTAATTCTTCGGCTAGATGACGCAGGAGTACACCTGGGATCTCATCTGGTCCAGGTGACTTGGCCGGATTCAGCTTATTTAGCTCTGCTAAAACTAACTGCGGAGTAAAAAATACTGTGCTTATAAGTGGTTGGTTGGCGGGCAGTGGAAGAGAACAGGACTGGAGGGGTGGTTCCTTGGTGTAGACACTTTGGAAAAACTCGGAAAGAAGCTGGGCTTTTTGAAGGCCATCGCTCACAGTTCGGTTATTTTTGTCCTTTAAGGTTGCCAGATGGTCCCGGTTTTTCGTATTGCTACTGATATATGCATAGAACGCTTTAGGTTTTTGTTGCGCCCCTTCTAGGAGCTTCAGTTCATAAGAAGCTCGTACTTCTCGTATGAGTCTTTCGCATAAGGTTCGTTGTTGCCTGAATTCTTTAATTTTTTTCCGCGTTCTCAGTTTGCAAAAAGATTTTCCACAGCTTGCGTTTTTTTTCGGATTTCCTTCGTAACCGATGTTGTTAACCATCTCGGTTTGTTTTCGGTTGGATGTTTCTTGAGGGGACAGTATCGTTCAATCAGGTCTCTCATAGTTGATTCGAAGGTTGTCCAGCATTCGTTGACGTCTCCTCGTAATGCTTCCGTCCATAGCGTGTGTCCAATCTCTTATTTCATTGCCTCATAGTTACCCCACCAGACATCGTGGATACTTCTAGTTTCGGCAGCAAGGGATTCTGGTATGACAGTGTTTTCGTAAGCTCAAGAGTTTAATAACAGCCCCCAAGAGGCAACCAGGCCTTTTGGCTCTCCCCATTTCTAGCAAAAGTGGAATGTGTCTGTCCACGTCATCCACCGGTACTTGCTGACCTATCGCTGTTTCGGTTTGAAGAAGGGTGTTGGTCTGTTCAACATGTACCAATGATGTCGGGGTGTGCAGCGTGTCGTGGACGATGGACAACGTTGTAGCTGTGCGCTCTCTCTCTCGGTTCGTTGAGGTCGTAGGATGGCTGTTGAAGGACTTTTTATTGACGTGGGAACCATACCGCTGCCAACCTATTGGTAGTTGCCACGCATGACGATGTGATATAGGCAATGCCTTTCGGACCAGGTAGTGCGAACAGGACCACAGTAATATCATGTATATATCAGCAGTACACACCGGCGATCTCCGCCAAACTCGTCGGTGGACTTGGTGGATACTTCCCCTACCCTCTGTTCTGACAACCAGCGTGCCTCTATCGAGTTGCCATGGGTTTAAAACCCGAAGATGCCCAAATCGAAAAGCAGATGCGACAGTTAGATGGGCCAGTTCTACTGAGGTGCGGGACTGTAAGCGCAGTTCAGCAAGCAGCAGCCAGTGTTCTCATCAGGCAAGTGTGCCTGTAGCCCTGCGGTGCGAAACTTCGCGTGCGCTTGAACTTCGCTTGCCTTCAGCCAGTCGACGGTAAATGCAGAGACATGACGTTTTATGAAGGGCCATTTCACGGTATGAAATATCTCATAATTGGAAACTTCTTCAAAACCGCATTTTACCCTTCCTTCAAGTGTAAAATTAGAAGAAGACGTAATTTTCTACTGATTGAGCAAAATAATTTATGCTTTTGGACATATTTTCTATGAAGTATAATTGAATCATCAAGTATATCGAAAATGAATGAAAAAATGCATGCTGCGTTAGTTGTCATCTTCAGTACAACCATAAAGGTATCCATATGCTCCCCGAAGGTGTTTTTGTGATCGTCTTATAAGCTGATTCTAGCCTGTTTGCCGGACCTTAACGCTCGAACGTGGTGTCCAAGATAAGCAAATCCGATTTTAATTATTGGCTGGTCCATGCAGAAACTGGGGTGGACTTTGGTAACACAAAAAACTAACTGATGCGCCTGGTAGTCCTGCCTCGACCCCCGTTCCTGCAGTCGCTTTTCCAGATCTCGACAAGTACTTCATCCTAACATCTTGGTAAATGAGGGTAGCTTTGTGCGACGTGGTCCAAAAATAATAAATTACATAAACGGATGTTAATGCGGCATAACCGCGTAATATTCACAGACTTCCAACGGGCAGCCAGTAGTATACAAATGTGTATTTATTTACCGTACTTACAACGCAGGTACTAACTAAAAGCCCAGACACGCGTGTTTCGCCTGAGGGAACCGTGCTAGTAAAGGTCTGTTCCGAGGGACTAACCCCAAGTTCGCGCATTAATCTCCTCGAAAATCAAACAAGGAAATATGAAACCGAAGTTCATATATATGAAAACACACGGGGAAGGCTATGGGAACCACTGATGT